GCTAGACGAGGCACACTTCCTGACTGCAGACTAGCAGGATTTATATAGCTTTCGGCTTGTGTTCAAGAACATTGTGGGCTAAACCAGTAAGAATTCGTTCCAGAAGGTTCTTTATCCGTCCACAGCATATCGCCAAATGTGGCAATCCTGCCTTCTTTGTTGTTTTATGGCAACCCTAAAACTGCTTTGCGAAGCCATCTTACCTTGTCTGTATATTTAGTAACAATATGTTAAGAAGTGGATCTTAAAAAGTAAGTAATTTTACTAAATTTTTAATTGGAATTTAATATGCAAAGAAATTATATCAGCAAGTAAAATAAAAGTTGAAAATTTCAACCGCTAATGACAGTACACATGCCTTTGAAAAAGTGTTTTTGGTAAAAGTATTCATTTTAAAGTAATTATTATATTTATAAAATATTAATAATTCAGCTTTTTTGTCTCCTGTAAATAAATTTATTCTATTGGAAATAAAAGGTTAAAAATAAAACAATCTATGTGAACAAGAGAAATGGTACTTACATCCTTTTTATCAGTTATGAAAGTTAGTGGAGAAACTGCTAAACTTACACCTTTTATTCTGGCAGAAGTTTGAAGGAACAGATTGCTCTTCATTCAGTAATTTTGAAGTTTTCATATCATTTTCCTAGTTGAATGGATCACAGCTCTTCATATTGCAACACTATTGTTTATTCATCTTGAAATAAAGTTTCATATGATGTTTATCATACATTTTTTTTTAAGCAGGGATCCTATACCTTAAAAAAATATTCCATTGCATGCTTATTCTGGCTGGTACAAATTGTAGTCATGTTTTCAATATGCACAAGAAAACAGAGAAATAGCAGTTGATTTACATCCTTTTTTCGCATAAAACTGAACTGTTGGTATGCCGGTTAATCATAATAACATAAAACAAGTGAAAATCTGATGTGCATATTGTGATATTACACTTATTCATTATTGCATTATTGTCACTAAATAAATTGTTGAGTGGCAGTTATTGTTTTTTGAATATGGTCTATAGGAAAGAGTTTTAGTGCCAGAAAAACTTTCCTATTAGTAATTTGAATTGTCAGTTGCTATATATATTATTTATTGCTTTTGCATGCTTCACAAAAGAAGCATTTATCACAAACAAGTCTGATTCTAGATCAAGTCATATGTTTTAATAAATCTGGTTTTTTTTTTTTTTTTTTTTTTTTTAAGTTATGTTTGCATACAGGTCCCCTCCTCCTTAACTAACATTACTCGGAGCTGTTTGTAGCACAGTCTGTCAGATGGACTAATGGTGACATGGGAAAAAGATTCAGTAGAAAAAAAAAATGTTCAAAAATCATTAGTAAGGGGAAATTTGATGCTGTTATAGTGTATACGGCTGAAAATTTGCATGAAACTTAAATAAAATTCCTTACTTATGTAGTTCATAAATGACAGCAGTGCCAGTAATTCACATAGTAAAGATAAGGGAAAAACACCAAAGTACTTTCTTTTAAATATTAGCTGTGTTCATTAGACATGTCACTTCATCTCAGTGCACATTACTTGTGAAAGTTATTTTATCTTCACCAATTGAATGTAACTGCTTCTTTTCATAAGTTTAGAAGCTGTAACAATTTACATAAAATACTTCTATCAGTTAATGCACTAAGAGGTATGATTCAAAAGTTTAAAGAAAAATTTAGTAATTTGATGTTGTAGAGAGTAGAAATCGGTGTCAAAAGGACAGTTACTGATAACATAACACATTTGCAATCAATGGTGGCACCCATGGACCATTACTTGCAAAAGCAGTGCCTTGGGTTGGATTTAAATCTTTTGACGGTATGGAAAATCTTGTAGAAAGTTCTCTGCTTCTAACCATACAAGACAAGCTGTATGGAAGAATTAAAACACAAACATTATGATAAATGGGTAGCATTTGTTTTGACATTTTTTATAAAGTTGAAGTTTCTTATAAAGCGAATGTTGATGACCTAGCCCGACAGTTGGAGGAAATTTGGCAAAAAATACTGCAGGAGACCATCTGGAAGCTTTATCAGTGTATGCCATGCCGTGTGGCAGCTTGCATCAAGGCTAGAGCTGGGTCAACGCTTTATTGAGCTCGTTACTTTGTAACTATATAACTCCGAAATAAATCATTCAACTGTTCTGAAATTTTGATGATTTGCTATTCTGTACATAATCTTCCTATCCACCAATTTTTGTCTCCATCAGACAACTCCATAATGTATAGATTTTTTTTTTTTTTTAATTTTTATATACAGTGTACTTTTAAAAAGTTAGTGTAATTCGTAGCCAGCAACTAAATTTCTTGATGATGATGAGAGCCACGAAAATTTGAAGATTTTTGGATATCACAAGAAAGACGAAATTTTTGTATGAATGGAATTTGAACAAAAATATTAAATGAAGATCGTAGTGACAGTGCCTCAATCATCAATCAATGGACCTGCGAATGCCTATAGTGTAACTCTAAATCCAAAATATATTGCGATTTTGGCTTTGAGTCGTACTTTAATTTCTTGTGATGGTGATTCAGAAAATCTTTTCTTTATGCAAAATACCTTTTCCTTAAAGAAATATTAATAATATTTTATAATTCCTATTTGTCATTTTACTAAATTTAAAATGATAAATTTAAAGTCTGGAATTTTGTGTAAGAACCTTGTGTTTTGGACACATTATATTTGTTTGTTATAAGCATCATTCATTTTATGAATATTAAGCATTTCATTAGATTAGTCAAATTTCATAGCAGGTAACCTTGCCAGTTGTCACTTCTTTAATAATTTTTCTTTTTTCCACTTCATATAAACAATTTGTTGACCCATCTTTAATGAATAATAATACGAATTTTGAACAATCTGATTGCTTCTGATATCTACAATATAAACATTTCAAAACACTTATCTAGAAATGATACCTTTGTATTTCAAGTATTTTTTTACAAAGCAAAACAACAAAATATGAATCAAACTGTTTCAGAACAGAATGAAAAGTCAGCCTAAGTCACTTTGGTACTTTTTCTTTGAATTAACAATTCTTATTCAAAGAAAAAGTACCAAAGTGCTTGAATTGTGCTGTTCTTAAATCTGCAGCATTACTCGGATGTTAATCCTGTGGATCACGAATGACTACCATTTAGCTTCCTATGCTGAGGCAGTGCTTGCTATTTATAGCTTCAAACACATGGTTTCTCTGAATCATTTGTATTATTTCAGATATGAATATTTTTTAACATCCTGTTTTTAAACCTTTGAAAAAGTTTATTTCTATTTTGTAACCTAAAACAGTAAAACTGGACTTCATTTCAAAATTTGTCGTATTTCATTGTAAATGATTATTCCTGTGAAGTATATCATCTAATAATCTAGAGATGGGCGCATCAATTACATTCAGAAAATAAGCTATTGATGAAAGTGAAAATTTGATAGGGGGAAAATCCAATATTTTAAGAGAAGATTAAGTATGAAACACTAAACTCTTTGACATTCAATAAAGCATTTTTGAAGAAATCTAATTTTGTCATGAGAAACTACAAGGTATGCTTAAGCTCTGCGTAATTGCTCTGCTTAACGGACTTCAACTTCTTTCTTTTATGTGTTTAAGGATCATGGTGCTCTTGCTTTTGCTAGGTCAGCTGTCTCAACAGTTAGCTATACAGCAGTATTATCCCTTTAGGGAAAATTTGTAGCAGTCTCTTTTAGATATTCACTTTTCCTTAACATCTGTGTTTCTGATCTTTACAGCGGATATTATTTTTTATCAAATGAAAAAATCCCGATGTATGAAAACAAATTAATTATCAAGTTTTTGCAGCATCATATCAAATATTTTACTTTGCAGTTGTAGTTCCCCATGACATGGGTGATAGGTGATGAAGGATGTTAAGCTGCAACTTATTTGTAATGTGGTAGTGGGTAATTTAATTATAATTAGTAATGTTTTTATGTACAGTTAAATCTAGATTTAATTAATCATTGGCATTGGTAATAATGTTAAATAGGGTGACACTTAAAACAGACCTGTAAATATGGAATGAAACAAAAATCTCATTGAAATGTGTAAATGAAAGACATTATGTATATAAAATTTAATCACAATTTCTGAAAATTTGTTTTATATATTAAATTTGTGTTTAGGAGAAAAAAAAAATTCATATTCGAATTATTTTACTATCTAAACTGTTTTATAAATAATTTGATCTTCTATTTCATATTTGATTCAAGTCTATCTCTGGGAGGGGGAAGTGCAGTTGCAGTACAATTTGTTATTTTTCTCCACATTCTCAGCGTAACATTACTTTCTTCATTGTACTCCAAAAGTTGATAAATTGATATCATTGAACACATAATTTTGAATTGGGTTAGATAGAAACTTTCATCAGATTGCATTCAATTCTGATTCATAATTAAATTTCATTTTTTATGTAAATTACTTTTCATTTCTTGAATTTGTGACAATTCATGATACCAAGAATATTGAGTTTCAGTGCTTTATTTCAAGATTTTGATTCTGAATCATTAAAATGATTTAAAATAACTGAATTATTCCCATATGAAGGGCTGTGATTCAGGAAACTTGATACAGATTGCTTAACTTGTATGCAAAAAAATAAAATAATAATAATAATAAAAAAATTTGTCAAATATGTCTTCATGAAATTAGAATTCAACTGTACATTGATTCTTATGAATCCTTGTAAGATATGTGTATACCTAGCCCTTGTCAAATGATTCCATCCTTTGCATGAGTTTCACAAGTAAGATCATGCACACAGTGGATCCACAATATTTGAATATTTGATAATGAATTTATTATCAAGCACATAATGGTGAAATTTAGAATTTTGCAAAGAAGCAATTTTTAGTGCATGTATTTCACTTATATTGTTTTATAAATTTTAACTTTTAATTTGAGAACATTATCTTAATCTCTAAACTAAGTACATGATATAAATTTTATACTTTTTTGGATTAAATATTTAAAATGATCTGTTTAAATTATAACAGCTGCTCATGAAAGCAATTTTTATTATGAAAAAACTTGTACAAATACTTCACCTAGTATCTATAAATAATAATCATAAAAAATAATGCATTTTAAATAAAGAATACATGTATACAAAATATTAAAGCCCAAAAAAGAAAATCATTTTTCTGTTATAATCTCATATGGTCCTGCTTAGGAAATATGTTATTATTATTCTATAAAATTTGACTTTTCTGGTAAAGTACATCCGGACTGCTTAATTACTTCAGTAGCAGCGTATATCCCACATCTAATGCATACATCTAATGGTTTCTCCATTATGTATTGAGCTAGAAATCCTAAAAAAGGGGACAAAATGTTTATACATAAAAATTTATAACATTGCATAAAAGTAGCAGATAAATATTACTTAATAAATAAAATAAAAGGTTTTCTGTATTGAAGACTTAAGTTGGAATGAAGTTAAAAATGTTCTAGGTTCACATCCTGAAACCACATTTAAACATTAATAACATGGGTAAGTTTCTTAAATGACCCGTTTGCTTCTTCAGCTGGTCGTCAATTTAATTGAGCTATTCATTCCACTCCAGCTGATGAAGTTCACAGGTCATTTGAGAAAACTCTTTTACTAAATATAAATATGGTTTTAGTTTGCATACCTAGAACATTTTATTTCATTTTTAATCTTCCATGTAATTAAAAAAATCATATGAATTGTATAAATTTTCTTGTAAGGAAACAATCTTTGCAAATATGACTTTCAAGTTATTTTAAGAGTTTTATGTTATATTTTGATTTCTTCAAATTTATTGATTCTATTTAAGAACGGCTTATAATTTAATAGCTTCAGACAATTTATATTCTAATTAAAACTTTGTAGTTTTAAAATTTGATTTTACAATAAAAAGTAGGTACTGATACTAACAGAACTATTGCAAGCAAATTACACCTTACTTAAGCATTTTTCTTTGTAGCATCTTGGCACAAAGTTCTAAAAATTTTTATAGTCACATCTTTTTTTGGTTCTTGAAAGTGTTAAAAAAGCGAGCTTCCCTAAATTTTAAAATGAATTTTTCCATGCAGTGATTGTTTTCATCTTACTAGTTGATTTATTCGTGGGTTTTGGGTGCAAGATTTGATTTGATGGATTTTGAGTTCAATTTCGATGATGGAGCAGTAATAGTGAACAGCTTCAAGAAAATGAATGCTCTTGATGGTTCTGAGGATCACAGCATGTGAGAAGGCAAACTCAACAGTGAAAATAGGTACATCTTGGAAGCTCTAGCAGATGACACTGATAGCAATTCCAGCAACACTGAATGATTTGAAGCTTAGGGAGTAACAGTGAGCAACAACAATAAGGGCGACCAAGATTCGATATACGGAAAAAAGGAAATGAAGAATCTTACAACACATCTTGTTCTATGAAGAAAAGTATATTACTACTATTAGCATGTTGAACTTGTATAATGCTATTTTTAATATAATTCAGGTGGTATTATATACAAAAGGTTGTTTTTTGCCATTAATGAAAGTTTTCACGTTAATATGTGGTATTTCCATTTATCATAACCTGTCGTAGACATTCTGTATTAATCGGTTTCACGACAAAAAATATGTAATTGGAGAATGTCCATTTCCCTTTTTTAAATTTGTAAGGAAAATATTTAAAATAAAATTAATTTTACATAAAAGTATTAGGATAGTGATTAACTTCAAAACTATAATTGGAATAATACAAAAGTGGGAACATTAGAAATTGACCATTGGTTGTATAGGTATAGTCCCATCCTAGTTTTAAGGGAAAAACCGTGGGGAAGAGCACCTCAACCTCTTGAGAGGACTTTTAGCTCGCTATATATTTTGAGTACCACCCTCATGCTGCACTGACAGTATTCTCTTACAAATATCCATGCCTTCTCAAACCCAAACATTTCAATACAGCAGTCACTATCACTAACTACTGAGTCAGCTAGTGGAAATAGTAGTAATAAATAGCTGATGATATATAATGTGTAGTTTTTACCACTACAAAAACATGAAAATTCTTTTTTTTTTTTTTTCTGTGAAACCTCATGGCTAAGCACATAGTTTGAGAAATGCTGATATAACTTAATTTCAAGGAATTGAATAATGTTGACAAAACTACTTATTTTAGTTCTTTTACATAAAATCTTCTACATATAGTTAGATTCCTTCAGTAAATTAATTGATTTTTGAAAATATTCCTCTTTCATGAAAATCACGTTATGAATACTTTGTTTAAAAGTAAGTATATTTCCCTTAATATTTAAAAACATAATGCAAAATTTAATAATATTTTATTTAGTAATCTTTTTTGATGAAAACTTGCTGGATATGATGCAAACTCATAACATAGTGTGTGTAAATACAGTAAACCCTTGCTGAACATAGAGGCTATGTCATTAACACGCTGCACGGGCAGGAAAATCATGTTCTGCAAAGTTAAGTTTCTATAGGGAAAAAAAAAAAAAAAGAATTAGTTATAGTCTGGATTCAGAAGTATGTATAATTTATATAAAACTATATACTATTGTAAATAAAGAGGGAAAATGATAATTGAAAGGATTTCTTTTACTGCTGTTTTTACTGTTAGATACATGACAGTTATTTTTTTTAAATAGCTGGTTATTTTTGCCCGGCCCAATATCTGGGGCACTCATTAAAGGCTCTTTATTTTCTTCACTATCACTGTTTTCACCATCTGCTGGTGTAATAAGAACATCCAATTCTTCATTTGTGATTTTACAACTGTCATTCTTGACTAATTCTTAGATTTCTTCTTCCAAGTCTGAAAATTCTTCACAGTTCTATTCAGTTGCTTCCAAAATGCCCATGGTGTGTTGTGCTTTCCTTCATCTTATTTGTAGATATTGTAATGTGCCTGACAACATACCTGGAATTTTTTTTATGATTCCTTGATCCATTTGTTGGATTAAGGAAGTGATGTTTGGTAAAAGGAATAAAAACTCTACATTTGGATGAAATATTGTGAGGGCTTTGACAGTGTCCTGAAGCATTATCTAAAATTAGGAGAACTTTAAAGCTTATGTTTTACATATTGAAATAAATATGATAAATGAATTTGCAAATCAATCAATAAAGAGGGCTGTTGCAACATGGCGAATACTCTGTAACATGCCACACATAGTTGAAATTCTCACGTTGAAAAAATTAAATGGAGTCAAAAAGCAAGTATACACAAAATCATGTTCCAAGTTCAGCAAGGGTTTGTTGTATATTTCATTACCTTGTAGCTGTCACTTCATGAACACATAAAAATACACAATTGCTCTTAGCTTAGATGATGGTAATTAATTATTTCTTCTTATAATTTTCAAAGCTATATAATTAGAGCATGTTAAAGGAATCCATTATATCAAAAAGAGGTAAGTTTTAGAATTGTAATTGTTTTATATTTTAAAATTATTTCTTTAGGAATAGAAAAGTCCCTTGTTGTTTAATTAGGTTGATGCCTTTGCTGTGGATGTCAAAATGCCTCTTTTGAAAGCTGTCATATAAATGTACACACACATAAAAAAAACTTAAGCTGGAGACCATGAAACATAACATGCAAATGATTAGAATTTCAGGACTATTTATGTTAAAATTGTTGTAAAAATGTACAACTGATAGGGTACTTTGACGATTTTCCACCGTAATACTCTTACTTTCTTAATCTGTGGTCCTTAAAAACCTTCCCTAAATGGTCATTCTAGGTTTCCAAAAAAGGCAAAAACTAAAATTCAAATTAACTGCATACAACACCCTATAGCTAAAAAATCTTAAAAGTTTGGAATTACAAATGACAGTCTCCTGTCACCTTTTCTCTTCCCCAAACTAACATTTAATTGAAATCTACTGGTTACCTTGCCCACAAACTTTCCACTTTAGTCCTAGCCTTCTTTTTTGTTGCCTATTTGGTGGTGTATTTGTAAACCAATGAGACATCAATAAACTGCACTTTGTTGAAAATCAATCATATTTCTGCATCATGTTCTTCATTTGTATTTTGCGAGATAACGATAGGAGATATTTTTGACTGCCTGTTTTAAAATCTGTATGAATGAGATCCAGAAGTTCAATAAAAGACTTTCGTATTTCTATTTTTTGTACTCAGTCGCAAGTAATGTATATTAAATTATATATGTATTGTTGATTTGTTGCATGTCTGATAGTTCAGTAGTTTTGCAGTCATTTTAAATTCTTATTTGATAAACAATAGTCGTTTCCTCTGTTACATAGTAGAAAACTGGTTCGAACTGTATCTTTGGAAGGAAAAAAATGCAATGATATCTCACATTTAATGTTAATAGTCAAAATCTGTATGTGATCATAATATTAATATCCATGATGCTAGTGCCATTAAAGAAACATATCACTCATAGTTGTTCCAAGTAAATATACTTTCAAAAATATAATGAGCTATTTGAATTGAGGTTTATTTGATGTGGCTAGGAGAGTAAACCAAAACATCAGTGTCTATGTTGTATGTTACAAAGTATTTGCAAACAAGTGTATGAAACCTGCAAAATTGAACTAGCACTTAGAAATGAAACATGTAAATCATAAACCTGTTGAATTTTTTCATTATGTGTTGTAAAAAATCAACTACAGGTTTCTAATGTAGGTTCCATAACTAAAAAGTGTATGTCTATGCATTGCAAAGAGGAGGCTATTCTATAGGTGAAGCCTTATACTTTGTTATGAAAGATATAGTTAAAAATAGGTTTGGTGAAAATTTTTCCAAGGACATTGAAAAATGTAATGAAATTTCATGGGTTCATGACACTTTCCAGTGAGTGCCATATTAAAGATAAAACTATTATTAAATGAAAGAGAACAATTAATTTTATTCTAAAATGAGGGAAAAAAAGATAATTTGTGGATTTAGTTCCCAGTGAAACCAGAATATAGTGAATTGTATAATGATGCATTAAAAACTATTATCCAGTTTGCTTATATCTGTATGAGAAAGGGCTTTCATCACTAAAACCCAAATAGAAACAAAACACTCAGTTGACTTAATATATGTGCAATCTTAGACTTGAACATATCAAAATAATCCAAACATAGAACAGTTGTGCAAGAGGTAGGTTCATCCAGCTCATTACTGTGAGTACCAGCATTTAAAAAAAAAAAATTCTGTAAGATATAGATGATTCAAACCAACGGCCTTGAATTATTGAAAATTAATACAAAATTTCTTCTTAATAAAAGTTTAAATTTAAATAAATTTTAATTAACTATATTTTAAATATGCTAAAATACTGTTTTCGAAGGAATTAAAAGTAAGGAGGCTTACAGAACATTCAAA